GTAGACCGCCACGAAATAGAGCCGGAGCCAAGGCTGAAGGTGTAACCCTGTGACGACCGCTGCGTAGCCTGGTCGTCAGCCCAAAAAGCGTTAGCGTGACTTGTGAGGACCATTCGACGTCGCCCTCCAAGAACTAGCCCCATGCTCGACGTACTGCACAAGTAGCGCAACACCCTCTTCGCTGCAGCCATGTGCTCTGGTCTGTGTCTCCCAGGAGCAACATAGCGTGCCAAGATGCTAAGAGGGTATGCAAGGTCAGGTCGTGTGCAGGTCATCAGGTACATGAGGCAGCCAACAAGCTCAGGGTACGAGCCACTCGGCTCTACGGACTCATCCGAAGGCAGAGCTGAGAGCGAGTGGCGAGTAGACAGAGGAGTGGCCTGAGGCGAGGAGTACGTGAAGTCAAAGCGCTGAAGGACCTGCTGCACCATGTGTGAGTGAGTCAGGGTAATGGTGCGCTGTGCTCTGTCGCGGGTGATTTGCAAGCCAAGGTAGCTGCACAGTTCACCCAGGTCTGTGCACGTGTGTCTCTTCTGCAGCTCGGACTTCACGTAGGCGAGTCCAGCAGTGTCAGCTGTGGCAAAGACCAAGTCGTCGACGTACACGAGGATGTAGAACGGCGGCAGAGAAGTGTCGGTGCGTAGAAACAGCGACGGGTCGGCAGTCGAGGGAGCAAACCCAAGAGCCGTAAGCGTAGTCCTCAGTGTGTCGTGCCACTCACGGGGCGCCTAGCGGAGAGTCGTAGACTGGCCGCCGGAGGCTCCTTTGGGTACCAAGAGGAAACGACCCAGTGAAGCCAGGTGGGCGGCGCAGCAAGATCTCCTCGTGCAGGCTGCCCTGAAGGAAAGCTGTGCTGAAGTCACGAGAGTGAAGCTCGTAGTCGCGCTGAGCGGCTATGTGCAGCAGCACCCGAAGAGTGGTCATCTTCAGGGTGGGAGAGAAGGTCTGAAAGTAGTCAGCTCCCTGCAGCTAACTGAAGCTCAGCAACTAAGGCAGACGCAGCAGTGGACTCAAAGGAAGGGTTAGTGACGATAGTAGCCAGGAGACGCGTGACAGTAGGACTGGTAGCATGAAGAGAGTCAAACTCCGGGTTAGCAAGAGCAAGAAGAGAGGACTCTGGAGGAGACGGCAAAGGGACACGCTGCGGAGCAGTGGAAGGACGCAGTGCCATCTGATGCGTGCCCAGGACCGCAGAAGGACGCTGACGCGGAACACGACGACTAGTGCGTGCAACACGAATAGGCGACGCAGGACGAGACGCAGGCGCACGACGCTCAGCAAGACCTCCCGTAGGACCAGTGTAGGGAGAAGGAGCAAGCAGTGGGGAGGCGGGCTGTAACTGTGACTGCGACTGGACAGGCGGTGGACAATCAAAAGAAGGAGCAGAACCAGCAGAAGGCGGGAGACCAAGAACCTGCTCAAGGAGCGGAACGAAGTACGGTCGCGGCCGCGCAGTGCCTCTAGAACCATCAGGGACAGCACCAGTACCCCCAGCGGCAGCACCAGTGCCAGCAGCACCTCCAGCTCCGGCAGCGCCAACTCCAGCACCCTCAGAAGCACCAGCGCCAGCAGCACCTCCAGCGCCAACACCCCCAGCAGCTCTAGCTCCATTAGCTCCAGCAGCACCTACTCTAGCAGTACCGCCAGCTCCAGCACCGCCAGCAGCTCCAGCACCAGGAGCACCCCTAGGCTCAGCAGCTCCAGGACCCCCAGTAGCACCAGCAGCACCTCCACCAGGACTAGCTCCAGCAGCTCCAGCAGCACCCCCAGTCCCAGCAGCTCAAGTACCGTCAGTAAGAGAACCTCCAGGACCTGTGGCTCCAGCACCTCCAGTGCGGACCCCAGGGTCAGCAGCAACACCAACTCTAGTAGTCTCAGCGCCCTCAGCTCCACCTTTAGCAGCACGACGGAAGCTGCGACAGTACTGAGAGTACCACTCACGCAGCTGCTGAGAAGAGAGAGCGCCCCCAGGCGCAGCACCCCCAGGCTCAGGACCTCCAGACTCAGCACCCCCAGGGACAGCACCCCCAGGCGCAGCACCTGCGGTCTCTACACCCCCAAGCTCAGCACCCGCAGTCTCCGCACCCCCAGGCTCAGCACCCCCTGTCTCCGCACCCGCAGTCTCCGCACCCCCAGGCTGAGCACCCCCACTCTCAGTACGCCCAGACCCAGCACCACCAGGCTCAACACGCTCAGTACCTCGCGCATGACCAGAGTCGACAGCTACCTCGACAGGCTCGACCGGGTCTACCTGGGAAACACCTGAGGGAGCAGGACCCTGGGGAGGCAGGGGGTCTACCTAGGCAGCACCTCGCGTGAGGAAGAGCGGCGGAGGGGGGAGTAGGGCAGTGCGGTAGGGGAAGAGAAGGTAGAAGGGGACCGACTCGTCAAACGTGACGTTCTGGGAGGACAGAATACGGCGCGAGGTGGGGTGGTAAAACTGCCAACCAGGCGCGTCAGGGGGGAAGCCAAGGAAGACGCAGGGAACAACACGGGTGGACAGCTTGTCTGCAGACAAGTCGCGGACAAAAGCCCGAGATCCCTAGACACAAAACGCAGAAGCATTGCCAACCTTCCCCGTCCACCGCAGTGTTGGATGCACGTCATTCTGAGTGCATGTCATCCTAACGTCCTGCCGAGTGCTCTTGCTTTTCATGCGTGCATTGTTTGCATGGGCATATGTCATTATGCATGGCTATTGGATATTGTCGTCTCTGTGTTTTTTCTCCAAGTCTAAATGCTTGATCATGTAGGAGAAATCCAGAGCTTTCCAACGTTACCAAGATCGCCTTATTCCGACCAAGATCGCCCAAGTTACAAGATTTCAAAGATTTGGGTTTCTTATTACATTTTTGGGGTTATATCTAATTTGGGTGATTACTTGGGACATGACTATAAAGGGATCTTTGGTTGGGTGGTTAGGAAGCCAACTTTGACTTTTGGATTGGGGTGGCTAGAAGTTTCTAGCATGGGTTGCAAATGTTGCAACACCTAGGCAAAATCCAACTAGATTGGATTTTGCATGTGACACCTCAAGGACCTCATGATGAGGGTTGCATCCTTGCTGCTAGGAAGGTTCTTACCATCCTTCCCTAGCTCTTGGAGAACCCCTTCCCTCTCATGGTTCTCTTGGAGGTTCCCCAACTCCAACTTTCTATGCCTACATGCTTGTTCTTCCTCTACCATTCTAGTCATGCGGCTGCTGGACGTTTCTACATGGTTCTCACTCTCTAGACCATCTTAACGATTGATTCAACTTGGAGATGATAGCTAAGCCTAAGGCGCACAATCCTACCGAGCGGATTTGCGTTTAGTTGAGTAATAAGTTCGTCGTAAGTTCTCAAAGTGACAGATCCTGAACAACAAGTGGTATCAGAGCGGGTAGTCGACTTCGAGACGACAAGTCGTCAAGAATTCTCCACCAATGATGTCGAGTGAGACCATTTTCTAGTAGTTCTGCTTGCGAACTTTCGATTGGTGGTCAAACCGCGTTCTAGTTCGAAGTATCTAGTCCGCGACGGTGTTTTTTGTAAAATCGAAATTTCTGGCAGAATTCTCTCCAAACGATTTCTCAAGTTTCCACCGTTCATAAGGCCTCAATATGGTTGGTACGAACTCCGGAGGTGCTAGTGGCGAGTTGGATAGAAGTAGAGAGGGTGGAGAGCAGGGGGGAGTTGCTGGTGGAGGAGTGGGGACTCACCAACCAGCCAACCCTACGATACCTACGCATACTATACCATCTCCAACAACCGTGGATCCCGTGAAGGCGTTCTCTATTGAGAAATTCATGGGGGAGGACTACGAGCACTGGAGCTTCCGCATGAGGCTGATGTACACCCAATACAAGCTATTGGATCTGGTGGAGGGAAAGGAGAAGATGCCGGAGGCCGCGGAGCTGAAAGGAGCGTGGATGAAGCGATCGTTCGACGCGTACATGCTCATGGTGCAAGCGGTTGGCGGACGACAACTTGACCACATCAAGGACCTCTTGGGTGATCCAGAGTGTGGCCCCAAGGCTTGGAGGAAGCTTCTGGATGTGCACTCACCGACACATGCTACCGGCATCGTGCTACTCGCGCGGCGGCTGCGCGACATCAAGTTCGTTGATGGAGAGCCGATGCAACCGGTGTTGGATGAGATGCGGGACATCTTCACGAAGCTCCAAGGAGGCGGTGTGGTGTACCCGGAGCTCGTGCAATGCGTGAAGATCGTGATACGGCTGCCGGAGTCGTGGTCTGCCCTAGCAATCAACCTCGACTCCCAACAACCCCAATGGAGCGTGGATTACATTCGCGCGCGCATCCTAGAGGAGGACTTGCGGCGGCGGAGTGTCGAGCGCTCGGAGGAGGGGGCTGGCTATGGAGTTGGAGGTGGAAAGAGTGGCTTCAAGAAGAAATGGAAGGGCAAAAACAAGGACAACCCTAAGGAGGATGGCGGCGGGGGTCAAGGAGGTGTGCTTCTACTGCAAGAAGCGCGGACATCGTTGGCGGAAGTGCTACCAACGACCCAAGGATTGGACCCCGCCTTCATCGAGCAACCTGCATGGTGGCAAGAGGAGTGGGGGAGTCATGAGAGCTAGTGGTGAGGAGGAGGAGGAGAAAGGCGGCAAATCTGAGGAGTGGAAGGCCGGGTTCTTCTTTTTCGTGAACGAAGGCGCAACCGACCCCGCTATGGCTGCCAAGGTTCTCCTACACCCCCTCACCCATTGGGTGATTGACTCGGGAAGCTCCTGGCACATGACTCCTCGCGCGGACCTACTCGATGAGATTCAGCCCGCACCTATCTCTACGGTCACATCTGCGACGGGCGCCAAATCCGTGGCTTGGGACCACATCAAACCCGTCATATCGCTAATGAACTTGTATATCAGACGAGTGGTGGGACAAGTTTACATGGAACACCCTCACACACATACGGTGCAACCCTAAATCACACTGTTATGTTAAAAAATGATCTTTTTGCCATCAAATACACAAAACAAGCATGCAGCCCTTCCTGTTTTAGAAATACACCTCGCCGCTCCCCTCTGTCTTCTCCGCCAATCCACCCTCACCAGCAGGAGAAGCAGCAGAATCACCTGTTGCCACTCCACCAGGACGCATCTCATCAGCCACCCTCCCCTCCACTGCGTCAGCTCCAGTTACTGCTCCAATCGCACCCCCAACTTCCACCACACCCCCCTCTCCTCCAAAGGAGCTATCCCCTTCCTTCACTCCTCCAACCTTGACTGTGTTTCCCTCCTCCTGTGTTCCCCTGCCCTCCCCGTCCCCACTACTCGCCCTACCCTCTCCATCTCCTTCCAAAGAACGACGTCTCCCTCTCTCCAATGCCTCCCCTTCCTCTTCCTCCTCTTCCTCCTCCCCACTCTCATACCCTTCATCCTCACCCTCCTCTATGGTCCCCACCAACCCCCCTTCACTCCCACCACCAACACCCTCTCCTCCACACCCGATCACCCACTCAGCAACCTTCCCTGTCCCATCCCCACTCTCCGCAGCACTCTCCCCCCCACTCCTCCCCCTCCCCTTCCCCCGTCTGTGCTGTTTCTTCCCCTGAGCCCCCTTCACTTCATCCCGCATGGCTGCCAGCCTGGCAAGGGCGGCATCCACGTCATCAACAGCAGAGAGGCCGTCAAACAGCAGCGAGTCATCTGCCAGCACCGTCTCTTGCTGCAGCAGCCGCTGCAAAGAACGCTTTGCCGCCCGGCACTGGGCGGCAAGCGACACCACAGCTTCGTCCTGTGTGGGCAGTAGAGGGAAAGGGAGGGAGGCGAGAGAAATGTGAAACGGCAGGCGGGGAGGCGAGGGGAAGAGGAGAAGATGATGAGAATCAGTGTCCTGGTTATCAGCGACGGAGAGGCCATCAAACAGCAGCAAGTCATCTGCCAGCAAGGTGAGGGAAAGAGAGAGGGAGGGAGGGAGGGAAGCGAGGGGAAGAGGGAGCAACACGAAAAGCAGCGTTAAAAGGTCTAGATGAGCAGAAGCATGGGGACTGTGGTACAGGAGGGAGAAAGTCATCTGGCAGCATTGCATCTGCAGCAACAGCCGCTGCAACCGCTGCCTTAGCACCCCGCATTGGGCTGTGAGGGACATCGCCAAAGGTTTTTCAGGCGCCTCAGAAGACAGTATTATGGTTTTACTCAGGGCCTTATGTTCTGACACCCGGCTGACATGGATATTCGAGTTTCTTTTGTGGGTCGACTCGTGGAGGTATTTTGAGATGAACAAAAAATATCCTTTCATATTCTGAGCCAAGGTCATTCCAGCGCCAGGCCAACAAAACCCTCTCTCCCCACCAACTCCCTCCCAGAGACTTTTTAATCTACAAATGACCCGCACAACAGTCATCTTTCCAACCACCCCGCCACATCACTCACCCTACGAGCCTCAATTTCAGGAGCTGATCTGAAAAAAGAATAGTGAGCAGGTCTGCAGTGTTTCTAGTCATAGTAACAATTCCCCTTGAAGACCTCTCAAACCACAACTCACCTTGAGAGCTTCAGTTGCAGGCGCTGACATGAGCATGGTAGTGAGCAGGTCTGCAGTGTTTCTAGTCATAGTAACGATTTCCCTTGAAGACCTCTCAAACCACAACTCACCTTGAGAGCTTCAGTAGCAGGCGCTGATGTGAGCATGGTAGTGAGCAGGTCTGCAGTGTTTCTAGTCATAGTAACGATTTCCCATGAAGACCTCTCAAACCACAACTCACCTTGAGAGCTTCAGTTGCAGGCGCTGATGTGAGCATGGTAGTGAGCAGGTCTGCAGCGTTTCTTGCCATTGCAAAAGTTGTCTTAGGATCCGCCTCTGCCTCTCCTGCACCCATCCACGCTGCCTCCTCCGCCCCCTCCCGCTGCCGCTGATGGTGATTGTGATGATGATGATGATGGTGCTGCCTGTGTGCGTGGTCATTTCTCCCTCCAGCTGCAGCACCAGCAGCAGCACCAGCAGCACCAGCAGCAGCACCAGCAGCACCAGCAGTGCCGCCACCGCCACCAGGCATGACGAACCTCACGTGCGGTGTGGTCCGCCGACCCTGGGCGTTAGGTCCGGTGAGGAAGTCCGCAGGCATGGCAACGACCTCCCGGTGCTGGTTCGGCAGCTCGGAGGGAGGTCTGGTGATGTGAATACGCCCTGCTCCTCTATAAGAGTCTCCGAGAACGGACTCGAAGGGGAGGAGCCGGGGGATGCGCTGAGGGGGTGCAGTGACCACAGGGAATGTCACCCCTTTCTCCTTGAGCTCCTGGTAATGGTGATGAAAAAGGGTAGGGGAGAAAAGGAGTGTTTTAAGTCGACTCACAACACACGTGCGCTGAGGGGGTGTAGCGACCACGGGGAATGTCACCCCTTTCCCCTTGAGCTCCTGATGATAGTGTTGAAAAAACTGGGGTGGGGGCAGGGGCGCGGGTGAATGGAAGAGGCAAATATGACCCTTTTCTCCTTGATTTGCAGCCTGCGGGGAGGGGGAAGAGAAGGGGGAGCGAGACAGGAAGAAAGGCAGGTCTATCTTTTGCCTTGGATTGAAGTTGCTGGTAATCATGTGGAGGTTTGAAAGGGAGAAAAAAAAAGGTGATAAAAGGAAGGAGGAATGAGGAAGGTGATAGCAGAATGGCTTGCATCTATGGCTTGACAGCACATGTTCCATGTGGGAGCACGGATGGTCATGGCAGCATGAATGGTCATGGCAGCATGGATGGTCATGGTAGCATGGATGGTCATGGTAGCATGGATGGTCATGGTAGCATGGATGGTCATGGTAGCATGGATGGTCATGGCAGCATGGATGGTCATGGTAGCATGGATGGTCATGGTAGCATGGATGGTCATGGTAGCATGGATGGTCAAGGGAGCATGGATGGTCATGGTAGCATGGATGGTCATGGTAGCATGGGTGGCAGCATGGCAGCATGGGTGGCTGGCAGAGGGGAGTGAGGATCAGGTGCACTTGAATAAGGCCAGGGACAATCGCCACCCGCAAGGCAGGCAGCCAATGCTGGTGTTACAAAGTGTAAATAAAGATTACTATGTACACAAGACAAATCACAAGGACCCATTCAACAGACCTTCAGTACCTAATGAACTGCCAAAGAACGCTCTAGCTCATATGCACTTGCGCTGGCGTCGTTTCAGAGTAACCCCAAAAAGGCATGACGGCTCAGCATCCAATCCAGTCACTTCATGACGTTTCCTTCCTCAGGGAATCCAGTGCTCGGGTGTGCTGCCCGTTCCACTGAACCCATGACCTCTTAATCCTCAAATCAACAAACAACGGATTTCACAGCTTAAGCTTCCTTCCTATCCCCTCCTCTGCTCAAAACCATTCCCCCAAAGGGGGTAATGGCACATTAAGCAGCAACGGCAAGGGCGTGGCGTGCTAAGCTATGGAGTCAACTCAGTGCAGTGGGGTTAGCAGCAGCACATCAACGCTGCGAGAGCATCGCATTGCTGCAAGGAGAACAACAAGAAAGGCACAAATGGGCATTGTTCGCATGGCGCTTGAGTGAAATGACATCTCAATTCAATTTCGTCTAGTTTGATCTCCTCACTGATTTTTGATACGTCTCACGAATAGTTTGCATGGCGCTTGAGTAAATGTTAGTGTCTCTAATTCAGTTTCTATTTAGTTGTTTCACCACATTTCCGCAACACCACATCTAGTTTTTTGTCTTGTCTTCACCATATTTCCCCCACACTCCGTTTACCATAAACATCACCCTGGTGGTGTAGAAACCAGCCTTTATTTTCCAGCCCCACCCCTCTTCCCCCTTCTTTTCCCGTCCTGCGCTCACATAAATACCTTTCTGATGCAAATGTTGCCGTTATACCCCCTTTCCCTGTCTCTCCCACCAACCCCCCCGCCCAAGTCTTCCCCTCATCCCCCAGACCACCCGCCACTCACCCTAAACGTCTCTTCGAACGCGGGGAAGTACCGCGTCGCCTCCATGGGCGCAGCCCCCATTCCCTATCCCCACCCCGCCCCACCCGCCACTGACCCCCATCCCCCATTCCCCCACCCCCACCCCTACCCCCACACCACCCGCCACTCACCCTAAACGTCTCTTCGAAAGCGGGGAAGTACCGCGTCGCCTCCATCGGCGCAGCCCACGCCTCGATCAGTCTTAAAACATTCTCCCTGACGCGCGCCTGCGTCTTAGGCTCCACCGCCATTCGCGCCATGTCGCCTAACACGCCTTCCCGCGCAATGTCCCCCAGAATCTGCGGCGCGCTTCCGACAACCGACTCCGCGACCGCCAGCGCGAGCAGCTGCACGTGCGAATCCCGCGTCGCCAGGCGACGTCGCAGGGCCCGTGCGACGTCGCCGCCGGGAACATGGCCGTTCTGAAGGAGGTGGGAGATTTGCAGGACGGTGGACCAATGGGGAGCGAGCAGCTCCTCCGCCGTGGCGCGGTCTACTAATATATCCGCCTGTGTGGTCGGCAGAACTAGGTCTTTAACGCGCTCGCCGACAACGGAAACCTGTTCCTCCAATCGACTTCCGACAGCTGTCGCGGCCTCCGTGACGCGCTTCCCCAGCTCCGCGCTCGACGCGCGCACGCGCTGCCCGACAGCCGCAAGCTTTCCGCGCCAATCGCCGCCAAATCCGGCGGCGGAGTCCCCGGGACGACTGTACGCCGCCGCGGCTCGTGAGGAACCTGGATCGGACGGTGATAAGCTCTGCTGACGAGCCTGCAGCTCTTGCTGCTGTTGCTGTTCGTGTTCTTCGTCACGGCTCGTCTGGTGTGCGCCTAACAGCGGCACTTCATAATCCATCTCAGCTGACCTAATGCTTCAATCCAAAAAGGCGAGAGAACGAGTAAGGAGGTCAAGAGAACCAGTGATGAGAACCCTTTCTAAGCGAATCGGCTAACTTGGCAGTTGAACGGTCGTAAGGAGATTCAAATGATGAATTCGAATGAGTGCATGCGACTATTTTATGTACTGAGAGTGTGCGTGCGTGCAAGGCCGTGGGGCACACGGCATGGATTGAGAGTGAGAATACAAGGAGAGTTAGGGAGGGGAGGGGGGGGTGGGAGCAAGCAAGCGACAGACCGAGCGAGCGAGAGATCGGGGCGACCAGCAGCCAAGCCACCAACCAAGCGACGACGCCTCCAGGGGTTGTGCGAAAGAGCGACGTTTCTGAATCTTCGCTTCCGTCTGCTGCTGACTTGCCAGAAGTCGTTTCGTTTGCGACTGTTGGTCCCTTGATTCGGCAAGCCCGAGGAGGAAGTGGACTGGTGAAAAGAAACGCGGAAACCGCATTGAGAACGTTAGTAACCGGACTGTACCCTCAGTGTACTGATGGTTCCTTTGCACACACAACCTCCCTTGGAAGGTTCAAGTAGGAAAGAGAGAGTGGTGGACTTGCTGGGCTTGACGAGGTTGAACGAGCTCGTCTTGACGACTGGGAACCGTGGTGTTGTTTGGAACCCGTCTTTCTCAAATTTGTCTCGGGCTTGTCGAATCCAACTCCGTCATGAGTAAACACTCCCCTCGAGGATGTTTGTTTGTGGCATGGCGAGTCAACCCTCGGCTGTGGCAACCATCCGCCGCGATATGGTGAGGGAAGAACAGTATAAAAGAAGTCATTGTCTGTACGATGTTCACGGCATCCATGCAAACTATCATATGCTAACAGATTTGTATCAAATCACGGAAAAAAATTACTGTTACAAATGCATCACAATTCTGCTAGATTCTATTGGAAACAAAGTGACTTCAACGCTTCTGATGTGTCGAAACACTGAACTGCAAGCGAAGCGAATTACAACGAAACAACGGTGAGTCAACCATCGGAGGTTGACGGAAAACGTAACCGCTGGAGGTTACGCGAAGGTCAAAGGCAGGCCCCAAAATGTCAGGGTAAAATACCCTGATTGCCCTGACTGGCGGCCGCTTTTTTTGGGGTTACCCTGACCCAGTCAGCCTCCCGGATTTCTTACCCTGACTCCAAGAGAGTTTGATTTTTTGTACCCTTATGAAATCCGGGTTATAGATTGTTTCCCCTAACTTTTATCTGTGTTTTGAACCTGTTACACTGATAACGAATCTTTCGTAGTGAGGATACGGTGGATTGTTGGAAACAATCGTTCCTAAGCGCCTCTGTCGTGTCGAAACACTAAGGCACAAGCGAAGCAAAGCATATCGAGGCACCGGCGAATCAACCCTCGGAGGTTGAAGTAACCGCTGGAGGTTACGCGAAAGTCAAAGGTCAGCGACCTTTGACCTGACAAATACAGGCGACAGCAAGGACACACAACTGACTCGTTATAGAGCAGTTGCCCGAGTCGTCACTGTATCGAACCGCAACAGCAACAAGTAAAACGGTTATAACCGTATCCTTTCATATTCCTTGTACTCTTATATATAATCTTGTATCTCTTTGTTTTAATCAACTTACTTTGCCCTCACATACTAGCGCAAGGTGGTTCACAACTCTTTATTAAACGCTTCCGCTACTATACCAACTCCACCCAGAGTTCACCCCTTCAAAGATCCTAAGGGCTTTTTCAGCCCAACATGGTATGAGAGCTATCAGGGGGAATTCAACTTCTATACCAATAGTATCAATCAGCATGGCTACACAAAAGGAAAGGAGCAACTCCAACGGCTCCCAGGGCACTACTCCTACTCCACCTCCTGCCTCTGGCCTACAGACAGAGGAGGGCACGGCAACAAGACCCAGAGCAACATCTACTGAGACTCCCGCGAATCAACCTGCAGACTTCGACCAGAGCATGATGGAGAAGTTTTTCTCCTTCATGTCCTTCTACGAGCAACACCAGCAATCGACACCTGCGCAGTCACACAACAGCAACAACAACGGAGCAACACCCATGAGTCTCGACGGCTCATCGTATGCTCGAGGAAATCAGCAACAGCAGCCTACTTTTGCTCCATACGAGCGCGGGTCCATCAGCTTCATGCCACACCCACAGCCCTCACCTGGACAAGAAAAACCACTGGACGCATTACAAGTTCAGTCGCAGTTCGCACACGTTCTGAAGATGCAGACGTCAAGACCTTTCGATGGAAAGGACTTCTTCACCTGGTCGTTCGAGTTTGAGCTGATGATGGAAGGCGCGCAGATACTCGGGTTCTTCGACGGGTCCCTGCCATACCCAACAAACGGCACACAGTACGAGAAGCAGCAGTACACCTATCAGTCAATGATGGCGTACACGATCCTACTGAGGAACATCACCCCGACTCAATAGCAGAACATAAGGACTTACCGAGGTTACGGTAACTCCGCGGAGCTCGCGTACAACCACCTGAAGAGCCTGTATCAAGCAGCAGACAGCGTAAGTCAAAGTCGGTTAACGACGCAACTGGCAACGGTTGAAATGAAGCCAGGGGAGAAAGGAATGGCGTATATCAGTCGATGTCGCAAGTTGCGCGACAAGCTTCTTCAATGCGGAGGGTGGATTTCTGAAGACGCCTTCGTGACAGTCATCTTCGGCGGCCTCGGTCCTCAATGGCGCGCCACAAAGGCCATCCTCCGAGCTCACGGAAGAATCTCCGAAGCAGCGCTCTGCGCCGAAATCCACGCCGAGCAGCAAGACATGGACCTGCAAGAAGAACGACACAAAAAGAAGACATCATCACCGGAATTCGCATTCCACACCCAGCGACGCTACAACAACAACAACAACCGGCAACAACAACCAAAGCCAGTACCTCCGTTCTGCCACATCTGCAAAACTTAAGGACACCCGCGTACACACTGCCCGAATCGTCAACAATCAACAACTCCACAGCGGCAACTTCGACCTTCAAGTAGCCAAATCGCCTCAACGCAAGCAAATCCCACGACTCATATTCAAGCTTCAACGACCTCAATAGGACAACCTGCACAAGGAGCAAGAAACATCGTCTGCTGTATGGCAAAGCTGAGTGACTCCTGCATCACCGAGTCACCACCACACTACTCACCGAAAGACCAACTCGACGAAACCACACCCCGCCGCGAGTCACTTCAGCCGAACCCGACATACGCCACCATCGCCCAAAGCGAACCATCCGGAAGGGACACATGGTTCTTGGACAGCTGTTGCGCACAGTACATGTGCTCCTCAAGACGCTTCGTTCAACGAGAACACCAGCTTCAACGCGAAGTTGTCATTACAGTCGCCAACAATCAGAACCTGCGAACACGACGACAAGGCGTAGTTCAACTTCAGTCAAGGGAAACAAACGTTGTACTGCAGATGTCAAAGGTACTAATCGCGGAGGGACTCGGCTACAACTTACTGAGCGTCAGTCAGCTAATGGCGAAGGGGATTCACCTCGAAGCAGACAGCACCACCCAAGAGTTCAAGCTGTATCACGGGAGAGGAGGTCTCTACATCGGCAAGGCGGTCCTCAAGAACAACGTCTTCGTTCTTGATTTCGTTCCTGACCTTGGCACCGCCGACAGCGACGCCATTGTTAACTTCACCGACTGGACTCACCCTCCGGACCTTGATCCAGACTTCAGTCCAGAAGGCTTCTGGTATTCACACACCATCCCTGAAGCAGAAAGAACAAGGGCGTTAGCAACAATTCAAACAACATCAGCAGCAGCAGAGACAACATCGGCCGCAGCAGAGACAACATCGGCAGCAGCAGAGACAACATCGGCAGCAGCAGAGACAACATCGGCAATAGCAGAACCATCAACGGCAGCAGCAGGAACGTCAACACCAATTGCTGGTCCTTCAACGTCACCGCTCCTCATCGACGACACACCACCGACACCAGCGCAACAACTACACCCAGCACCATGAGAATTTCATCGTAGCGCCAACTTCACCGTCAGCTTCTACTCCAACTCCGATATGTACCGACGATCACCCGGACATCGCGCTGACGAAAGCACCTGGCACGTAAGGATGGGACACCCAAGCAACACAGTATCAAACAATACGATAAGAGCAGGAGTGCTCGACAAGGACTCACTCCTACTGACCGACGGACGAGAACTTCAACGAGTACGCGGAACGTGCTTCACCTACCCCGAAGGTGACTTACCACATCGACCGTTTGCGTCTCATCACAACCCGAGCGCTCCCGCGTACGCACCACTCGAGAAGGTGTATAGCGACATCCTGTTCAATCGGGAACCAGGACAAGTAACATACAACTATACAATCACCTTCATCGACGCCGCCACCCGTTACGTCTGGCACCTAAACCTCCCTAGCCGCGACATGGCATTCGCAGCCTTCGTTGCCTGGCTACCAGTAGCAGAGAGAGAATCGGGCGTGAAGCTGAAAAGCTTCCATTCGGACGGAGGAGGAGAATACACCTCTCAGCGATTCAAGCAGTACCTGGCGGAAAGGGGAATCAAGCAGCTCATCTCCCTTCCCTACGCCCATCAGCAACAAGGAGTAGCAGAAAGAATGAACAGGACCCTGCAGTCCAGCATGCGCAAACTGTTACGTGGCATGCGGCTACCCAACCACCAATGGCCTGCAGCAATGGACCACGCCGTTATGCTGCACAATTTGCTATCGTCATCATCTCTTCCGAACATCGCATCACCGCATCTGCTTTGGACAGGGAAACAGGGCAACACAAAAATGTTATGAGTTTTCGGATGCATGGTACAGTACCGACCCCCAGCAGCACGAGCGGGCCGATTTTCTCAACGAGCACAGTGGGGACTACACCTGGGCATTGAAAAGAACTACAACGCGTGGAAAATCTTTGACGTCCACTCCAAGGAAACAGTAGCAGCACGTGACGTAATATTCTACGAACGACTCACGCTCCAGACATACCTTGCCAACTGAGAAGAAGCGAACGAGAATGGATGAACTATGAATGAAGTGAGTACAAATATGAAACCCTAATTGGGTTGTACCCCCTATGGGATACCCCACTATAGCCTACACAAATAAGTAAGTTATAATGTTCTGACACACCCCCATAGGCAAAGTGGGGGAGAACAAGGGGTCACAAGACCAGTCAAGCAAAGCAAAGCAAAGCAAAGCTCAGGGTGGATCACAAAGTGACCACACATTCCGAGCGCAAGGTCAAGGGCCACAAGGCCAGTTCGCATGCAAGATCATATATAGAGATATACAAGAGTCAAGCAAGCAAGAGCAAGAGTATATATAGGTCAAGGTACAAGCAAGGTCAAGAAGTGAGCAAGTGAGGCAAGACAGGCACAAGACCCAGCTGCGTGCAGCAACGCTGATGATCACAAGGAGCAAGTGCCTTGGTGAAGACATCAGCAGTGTTGGCCTCAGAGGCCACGTACGCAAGTCGCAACTGTCCACGCTGCTGTAGCTCACGAGCAAGAAAGTAGCGGAGAGCAATGTGCTTCGTCCTGTGCTCCAGTCGCTGCTCTCGACACAAGGCCAGCATGGCCTTGTTGTCTACGTACAGGACTGGAGGAGAACGAGGCGGCTCTCCAAGGTCGGTCAGCAGGTAGGTGAGCCAGCGAAGCTCCTGAGCAGCCATAGCCCCGGCGTAGATCTCAGCCTCACAACTGGAGCCGAGAACAGAAGACGAGCAAGTAGCCCGCCACGAGAAAGAGCCGGAACCAAGGCCGAAGGTATAACCCTGTGACGACCGCTGCGTAGCCTGGTCGTCAGCCCAAGAAGCGTCCACGTGCCCAGTGAGGACCACTGGACTGCGCCCTCCAAGCACTAGCCCCATGCCCGACGTACTGCACAAGTAGCGCAACACCCTCTTCGCTGCAGCCATGTGCTCTGGTCGGTGTCTCCCAGGAGCAACATAGCGTGCGAGAATGCTGAGAGGGTATGCAAGGTCAGGTGGTGTGCAGGTCATCAGGTACATGAGGCAGCCAACAAGCTCTGCATACGGGCCACTCGACTCTACGGACTCATCCGAAGGCAGAGCTGAGAGCGAGTGGCGAGTAGGCAGAGGAGTGGCCTGAGGCGAGGAGTACGTGAAGCCTAAGCGCTGAAGGACCTGCTGCACCATGTGTGACTGAGTCAGGGTAATGGTGCGGCGTGCTCTGTCCCGGGTGATCTGCAAGCCAAGGTAGCTGCGCAGTTCACCCAGGTCAGTGCACGTGTGTCTCTTCTGCAGCTCGGACTTCACGTAAGCGAGTCCAGCAGTGTCCGCTGTGGCAAAGACCAAGTCGTCGACGTACACGAGGATGTAGAACGGCGGCAGAGAGGTGTCGGTGCGCAGAAACATCGACGGGTCGGCAGTAGAAGGAGCAAACCCAAGTGCCGCAAGCTTAGTCCTCAGTGTGTCGTGCCACTCACGTGGAGCCTGGCGGAGACCGTAGACTGGACGCCGGAGACTCCACTGGGTACCAGGAGGGAAAGACTCAGTGAAGCCAGGTGGGCGACGCAGCCAGATCTCCTCGTGCAGGCTGCCCTGCAAGAAAGCTGTGCTGAAGTCGAGAGAGTGCAGCTCGTAGTCACGGTGAGCAGCAACGTGCAGCAGTACCCGAAGAGTGGTCATCTTCGGGGTGGGGGAGAAGGTATGAAAGTAGTCAACTCCCTGCCGCTGACTGAAGCCACGAGCCACGTAACGCGCCTTGAAGACAGGCGGAGAACCCGGCGGCCGCTTCACCCTGAAAATCCACATGCCACTGACGATGTTCGCCCCAGGAGGGGGAACAGCGTCGACGTAGGTGCCTGTGGACCTCCAGGAAGCCATCTCTGCATCCATAGCTGCCTGCCACTGAGAGGAGTAGGGACCCTCTATCGCCTCCTCGTAAGAGCGCGGAGTCGGGATGTCTAGTGCATCCGGGTCTCCCTCAGGGGCTAGCAGTACAGACGCAAGATGAGGTGAAGCGGCGGCCAGACACTGGAACTCCTCCTGCCTGTCCTCAAGGACGTCCGTGCCAAGGGCACACTCACCCCCGACGGACGGAGGACAGGCAGACTCAGACTCAGCGACAAGACTAGCAGCGTAGTCTAGACGACAGCGCGCAGCAAAGTCGACGAGCTGAGTGACAAGGGCAGACGCAGCAGAAGACTCGAAAGAAGGGTCAGTGACAGCAGTAGCAAGAAGACGCGTGACAGTAGGACTGGCAGCACGAAGAGAGTCCGACTCCGGGTCGGCAAGAGCAGGAAGAGAGGAAGCAGGAGGAGAAGGCAAAGGGGCACGCAAAGGAGCAGTAGACGGACGCAGAGACATCCGGTGCGTGCCAGGGACAGGAGGAGGACGCTGACGCGAACCACGACCACTAGTGCGCGCAGTACGAACAGGCGACGCAGGACGAGACGCAGGCTCACGACGCTCAGTAAGACCTCCAGTCGGACCAGCGTAGGGAGAAGGAGCAGGCAAAGGTGAGGCAGGCTGTAGCTGTGACTGTGACGAGACAGGCTGTGGACCCTCTAAGGGAGGAGGAGGAGGACTAGGAGAAGGTGTAAGACCAAGAACCTGCTGCAGGAGCGGAACGAAGTACGGCTGGGGCCGCGCGGCGACGCCAGAAACAGCAGGGACAGCACCAGTACCCCCAGCAGGAGTACCCGCTCCAGCAGCACCTCCAGTAGCTCCAGAACCTCCAGCAGCACCACCAGGAGCACCACCAGTCGGACCTCCAGCGGCAGACTCAGCGTCAACACCCTCAGCAGCACCAGCTCCAGGAGAACCCTCAGACCCAGCAGCTCCAGCACCCACAGTACGAGCACTGCCGGGACGCTCGGCAGCAGTACCCTCTGCAGCCGAAGAACCTCCAGCACCAGCAGCACGCCTCCAGCGCCTGGCAAACCACTGACGTAGCTCCTGAGGGGAGAGTGGCTCTCGGCGAGACGAAGCACCTCCAGGCGGAGCACCCCCAGTCTCAGCACCTCCAGGCTCAGCACCCCAAGGCTCAGCACCCCCAGGCTCAGCACCCCCAGGCTCAGCACCCCCAGGCTCAGCACCTCCAGACTCCGCACCCCCAGGCTCAGTACCCGCAGGCGTAGCACCTCCAGTCTCAGCACCCCCAGGCTCAGCTCCCGCAGCAGCACCAGAGTCACCAGTGACCTCGACAGGCTCGACCGCGTCTACCTGGGACACACCTGAAGGGGCAGGACCCTGAGGGGGGAGGGGGTCTACCGGGGGGGGACCTGGTACCAAGAAGAGCGGGGGCGGGGGGAGGGACGGAGTGCGGTAGGGGAAGAGGCGGTAGTAGGGCACCGACTCGTCGAACGTGACGTCCTGGGAGGACAGAACACGTCGAGAGGTGGGGTGGTAGAACTGCCACCTAGGGGCGTCAGGGGGGAACCCCAGGAAGACGTAGGGAGCAGCGCGAGGGGACAGCTTGTCCGCAGACAAGTCGCGGACAAACGCCCGAGATCCCCAGACCCGGAACGCCGACGCATCGCCAACCTTCCCCGTCCACAGAAGGGCTGGGGAGGTCTCCGGCCTGGAGACCCTGGGGTGGAGGTTGATCTGATGCGCCGCGTACCTGACCGCAAACGGCCACAGAAAATGGGGGGCAGCCGCATGCATCATAGACGTACGAGCGACGTCCATGACCATGCCAATGCGGCGCTCTGCAATCCCATTTTGCTGCGGTGAGTCCGGAAGCGTGAAGGTCTGGCGGATGCCTCGCGCACGAGAGAAGGCACGCAGAAGGCCAGAGGAGAACTCTCCGCCTCTGTCCGAGTGCAGACGCAACACAGGAAAGTCCGAGCCAAAGCTCTGCCTGAGCTGGAGACGAGCTGCGCGGATCCAGTCGATCAGCACCTCAGTGACATCACCCTTGCTGCGCAAGGGGAAGTCTGTGGTGTAACGCGAGTAGTCGTCAACCACCAACAGGAAGTAGCACTCGTGACCGAGTCCACGGACGCGGGCAGGGCCCCACACGTCCATGTGAAGAGTCTGCAACGGAGCCTCTGTCGGAGGAAACTGGGAGGAGTGAGGGGCAGCACGCTGGCGCCCCTCGACGCAGGGGACACAGGTAGGGCCAGGGCCCTGAGGAAGGGGAGGGAGGGACCGGGGGAGACCAGACACAAGAAGACGGGAGGCCATGCCTCTGAGCCGAAGCAGAGAGGGGTTGCCAAGGAGGTGGTGCCAGAGGAGAGTCTCGTGAGACAGACGGCGACACGAACAGGGGGCAGACTCAGGACCAGACCTGGACGCTGCAGCAAACACCTGACCAGACGAAGGGACTCTACCAGACTCAGCACCGGGAGGAGAAGCAGTGGTCAGTGTGTACAGGCTCGACCCTGGCTGACGTGTAAACGTAGCTAGGTGGCGACCTGTGCTAGCCTCTGTGCAGTGTGTCACCCGCTGACGAGCAGGAGTGAACTGGTGGACACCCCCATCCTGTAGGTCAGCACCACTCACCAGGTTCGTAGAGAACGAGGGGAGGTAGAGACCAGTCAGGGTGCCAGAGGGAGCCGCCGGACACGGGAGGACTCTGGAGAAACGAGACAGGACAGGACCCCCAGAGGGGTCAGCCAGGGACACCGCAACCGGCCGACTAAGCGGCGTGAGAGTGGTGCGGTCCCGAAAGAAGGAGCGAGACGCCCCAGAGTCAAGGGTGAAGGTGAGGGAGGCCGAAGCCGACGTAGTACCTGAGAGCGCAGACTCACCAGTACCTGAGGACGCAGACACACTAGCACCAAGAGCAGCAGCGTCGCAAGCACCTAGGGCAGCAGCCGCACCAGTACCTAGAGCAGCAGACTCAATGCCCGGATCGGGCGGGAAACACCGGTAACAGTCACCCTCATCACTACCAGACACAGCATACATGGCAGCAAGAATAGCATCAAAGTCAAGATCAAAGATAGCTACACCAGCCCTAGACAGCTCTCCCCAGCGGGGGATTTCAGAGGCCTCCGGAAACTGCTGGCGCCAAGCGTCGGTCAAGCGGGCAAAGCAGCGGCGAGCGGTGTGGGTGCCCCCACACTGCTCACCCGTACGGTCGCCGGTGCGAAGGACGTAGGTGCAGGGACCGAACGCCCCACCACGCTGACGCTGGGAGTACCACTCACGGAGCTGCTGAGGGGTGGGGACGTCGCGAGAGCGCTGCTGCTGCTGTTGCTGCTGCTGGCGCTGACTACCTCCAGTGGTGCTCCGCTGGGACGAGCCACTCCGACCACATCCACCACCGCCACCTCCGCCTCCGCCGCCACCGCCGCCACCGCCACCCTCGCCCCCGCCGCTCCCACCGCCACCACCACCACCACCCCCGCCTCCACCGCCGCCACTAGTACCTCCACTCCCGCCACCACCTCCACTGCCACCCCCACTCCCCCCGCCGCCTCCACCGCCTCCGCCACCGCCCCCGCTAGCTCCACCCGCTCCCTTGCCCCCCTTGCCCCTGCCAGGGCGGCGCCTACCGCTGGGGGCAGACGCTGCACCGACCGACTCCAAACCAACGAGGTCGGCCGCAGCAGCAGAGGCGACAGAGGGAAGTAGGGGGGAAGGAGAACACCCCTCAAAGATGGGGGTGCGAGGGTCACCACGAGAGGCCCCTACAGCGACGATACTCTTCTCAGCCGCTAGCAGGGACTTCTCAAGGAGGTCGACAGTGAGGGTGGTGGGACCGACAGAGAGAAACTGGTCCCTAACGGCACGAAGGGACTCAGGGAGACGGGTGACTAGAAAGTAGAGAGTGATGTACATGGGAGGAGGGTTTGCGGCGCGGAACTCAGCAGGAAGCGCAGCGCGGTAGCGAGTGTCACTAGCGCGGAGGTGGGTAAAGAGGTCAGCGACTGTGGGAAAGGCAGCGAGGTCAGGGAAGAGGAACGGTAGCATGAGGCGGCTCAGCGTAGCGGAGGAAGGGGAGGAGTAGCGCGCAACTACAGCGTCGTACAAGGCCTGAGCGGTCTTGCACTGACTAAAGTGTGCACGCTCGGAGGAAGGGAGGTGGCGACGCACAGCAAGACGTGCAGCAGCATCGCGCGTGGCCCACTTGGAGCGAACAGAGGGGTCAGCATCAGCAGGAGGGGCAGGGACAGCGCCAGAGACAAAGTCAAAGAGAGAAACCTCATTGATCGCATCGCACAGTAAGTACAGCTGCAGGTCCTCGACCCAGACTGCAAAGTCAACGGCGCGACCCTCAGCGTCAAAAGACAGGACACTGGGGGTGGCCATTATAGCAGCTGACAGTCTCACCGGGCGGGAAGAGTCGGGTAGCTCAGGAGTACAGCCACACAGCAGCACAGCAGCTACGGCGGCCCAGGAGCAGCAGCAGCCCCACAGGAACAGGAGGCCGACACCTCAGGCTGCTCGGGCGGCTCGGGCGGCTCGGGCGGCTCGGGCGGCTCGGGCGGCTCGGGCGGCGCGGGCGGCTCGAGCGGCGCGGGCGTCTTGCGGGCGACAGCACGGGCGGCTGGGGCGGCTCGCGGGTGGCTCACGGGCGGCTGAGGCGGCTCGCGGGCGGCGCACGGGCGGCTTACTGGCGGCTGGGGCGGCTGCATGGGCGGCTCGTGGGCGGCGTCGGCTGCTCACGGGCGGCATCGGCGGCGACGGCGGCGTCAGCGGCTCACGGGCGGCGTCGGCGGCGTCGGCGGCTCACGGGTGACGTCGGCGGCGTCGACGGTGCACGGGCGGCGTCGGCGGCGTCGGCGTCGTGGGCGGCTCACGGGCGGGCGGCTCACGGGCGGGCGGCTCACGGGCGAGCGGCTCACGGGCAGCGGCTCACGGGCGGCGGCTCACGGGTGGCGGCGTCACGGGCGGCGGCGCACCAGCGGCGGTTGACGGGCGGCTGGGCTGACGGGCGGCGCTCACGGGTGGTGCTCACGGGCGGCGCTCACGGGTGGTGCTCACGGGCGGTGGCGCACGGGCGGCAGCGCACGGACAGGCCGCGGGCGGCGAACGGGCGCTAGGGCGGGCACCGGGCGCTAGGGCAGGCGCTAGGGCGGGCGCTAAGGCGGCCGCTAGGGCGGGCGCTAGGGCGCTAGGGCGGGCGCTAGGGTAGGCGCTAGGGCGCAAGGCGCTAGTGTGAAAACAAAGAACGAGAATGGAATGACTATGAACGAAGTGAGTACAAATAGGAAACCCTAATTGGGTTGTACCCCCTATGGGATACCCCACTATAGCCTACAGAAACAAGTAAGCTATAAGTTCTGACACACCCCCATAGGCAAAGTGGGGGAGAACAAGGGGTCACAAGACCAGTCAAGCAAAGCAAAGCAAAGCTCAGGGTGGATCACAAAGTCACCACGCATTCCGAGCACAAGTTCAAAGGCCACAAGGCCAGTTCACATGCAAGATCATATATAGAGATATACAAGAGCAAGAGTATATATATGCGAAAGTACAAGCAAGGTCAAGAGGAGAGCAAGTGAGGCAAGACAGGCACAAGACCCAACTGCGTGCAGCAACGCTGATGATCACAAGGCGCAAGTGCCTTGGTGAAGACATCAGCAGTGTTGGCCTCAGAGGCCACGTACGCAAGTCGCAGCTGTCCACGCTGCTGTAGCTCACGAGCAAGAAAGTAGCGAAGAGCAATGTGCTTCGTTCTGTGCTCCAGTCGCTGCTCTCGACACAAGGCCAGCATGGCCTTGTTGTCTACGTACAGGACTGGAGGAGAACGAGGCTGCTCTCCAAGGTCGGTCAGCAGGTAGGTGAGCCAGCGTAACTCCTGTGCAGCCATAGCCCCAGCGTAGATCTCAGCCTCACAACTGGAGCCGAGAACAGAAGACGAGCGGGTAGCCCGCCACGAGACAGAGCCGGAACCAAGGCTGAAGGTGTAACCCTGTGACGACCGCTGCGTAGCCTGGTCGTCAGCCCAAGAAGCGTCTGCGTGCCCAGTGAGGACCACTGGACTGCGCCCTCCAAGCACTAGCCCCATGCCCGACGTACTGCACAAGTAGCGCAACACCCTCTTCGCTGCAGCCATGTGCTCTGGTCGGTGTCTCCCAGGAGCAACAAAGCGTGCGAGAATGCTAAGAGGGTATGCGAGGTCAGGTCGTGTGCAGGTCATCAGGTACATGAGGCAGCCAACAAGCTCTGCAAACGGGCCACTCGACTCTACGGACTCATCCGAAGGCAGAGCTGAGAGCGAGTGGCGAGTAGGCAGAGGAGTGGCCTGAGGCGAGGAGTACGTGAAGCCGAAGCGCTGAAGGACCTGCTGCACCATGTGTGACTGAGTCAGGGTAATGGTGCGGCGTGCTCTGTCCCGGGTGATCTGCAAGCCAAGGTAGCTGCGCAGTTCACCCAGGTCAGTGCACGTGTGTCTCTTCTGCAGCTCGGACTTCACGTAGGCGAGTCCAGCAGTGTCAACTGTGGCAAAGACCAAGTCGTCGACGTACACGAGGATGTAGAACGGCGGCAGAGAGGTGTCGGTGCGCAGAAACAGCGACGGGTCGGCAGTGGAAGGAGCAAACCCAAGTGCCGCGAGCGTAGTCCTCAGTGTGTCGTGCCACTCACGTGGCGCCTGGCGGAGACCGTAGACTGGACGCCGGAGACTCCACTGGGTACCAGGAGGGAAAGACCCAGTGAAGCCAGGTGGGCGACGCAGCCAGATCTCCTCGTGCAGGCTGCCCTGCAAGAAAGCTGTGCTGAAGTCGAGAGAGTGCAGCTCGTAGTCACGGTGAGCAGCAACGTGTAGCAGAACCCGAAGAGTGGTCATCTTCGGGGTGGGGGAGAAGGTCTGAAGGTAGTCAACCCCCTGCCGCTGACTGAAGCCACGAGCCACGTAACGCGCCTTGAAGACAGGCGGAGAACCCGGCGGCCGCTTCACCCTGAAAATCCACATGCCACTGACGATGTTCGCCCCAAGAGGGGGAACAGCGTCAACGTAGGTGCCTGTGGACTTCCAGGAAGCCATCTCTGCATCCATAGCTGCCTGCCACTGAGAGGAGTAGGGACCCTCTATCGCCTCCGCGTAAGAGCGCGGAGTCGGGATGTCTGGTGCATCCGGGTCTCCCTCAGGGGCTAGCAGTACAGACGCGAGACGAGGTGAAGCGGCGGCCAGACACTGGAACTCCTCCTGCCTGTCCTCAAGGACGTCCGTGCCAAGGGCACACTCACCCCCGACGGACGGAGGACAGGCGGACTCAGACTCAGTGACAAGACGAGCAGCGTAGTCTAGACGACAGCGCGCAGCAAAGTCGACAAGCTCAGTGACAAGGGCAGACGCAGCAGACGACTCGAAGGAGGGGTCAGTGACAGCAGTAGCCAGGAGACGCGTGACAGTAGGACTGGCAGCACGAAGAGCGTCCGACTCCGGGTCGGCAAGAGCAGGAAGAGAGGAAGCAGGAGGAGAAGGCAAAGGGGCACGCAGAGGAGCAGTGGACGGACGCAGTGACATCCGGTGCGTGCCAGGGACAGGAGGAGGACGCTGACGCGAGCCGCGACCACTAGCGCGCTCAGTACGAACAGGCGACACAGGACGAGACGCAGGCTCACGACGCTCAGTAAGACCTCCAGTCGGACCAGCGTAGGGAGAAGGAGCAGGCAAAGGGGAGGCAGGCTGTAGCTGTGGCTGTGACCGGACAGGCTGCGGACCCTCTAAGGGAGGAGGAGGAGGTGTAAGACCAAGAACCTGCTGCAGGAGCGGAACGAAGTACGGTCGGGGCCGCGCGGCGACGCTAGAAACAGCAGGAACAGCACCAACAGCCCCGGCAGGAGCACCCACTCCAGCAGCACCTCCAGCAGTACCACCAGATGCTCCAGAACCTCGAGCCGCAGCACCAGGAGCACTGTCAGTCGTGCCGCCAACGGCAGGCTCAGCGCCAACACCCTCAGCAGGACCAGCTCCAGGAGAACTCTCAGACTCAGCAGCTCCAGCACCCACAGTACGAGCGCCGGCGGGGCGCGCAGCAGCAGTACCCTCTGCACCAGCAGCACGCCTCCAGCGCCCGGCAAACCACTCACGCAGCTCCTGTGGGGAGAGTGGCTCCCGGCGAGACGAAGCACCCCCAGGCACAGCACCTCCAGGCTCAGCACCCCTAGACACAGCACCCCCAGGCACGGCACCCCCAGGCTCAGCACCCCCAGGCTCAGCACCCCCAGGCTCAGCACCCCCAGGCACAGCACCCCCAGGCTTAGCACCCCCAGGCTCAGCACCCCCAGACTCGGCACCTCCAGGCTCAGCACCCCCAGACTCCGCACCCCCAGGCTCAGCTCCCGCAGCAGCACCAGAGTCACCAGTGACCTCGACAGGCTCGACCGCGTCTACCTGGGACACACCTGAAGGGGCAGGACCCTGAGGGGGGAGGGGGACTACCGGGGGGGGACCTGGTACCAAGAAGAGCGGGGGTGGGGGGAGGGACGGAGTGCGGTAGGGGAAGAGGCGGTAGTAGGGTACCGACTCGTCAAACGTGACGTCCTGGGAGGACAGAACACGTCGAGAGGTGGGGTGGTAAAACTGCCACCCAGGGGCGTCGGGGGGGAACCCCAGGAAGACGCAGGGAGAAGCACGAGGGGACAGCTTGTCCGCAGACAGGTCGCGAACAAACGCCCGAGATCCCCAGACCCGGAACGCCGACGCATCGCCAACCTTCCCCGTCCACAGCAGGGCTGGGGAGGTCTCCGGTCGAGAGACCCTGGGGTGGAGGTTGATCTGGTGCGCAGCGTACGTGACCGCAAACGGCCACAGAAAATGGGGAGCAGCCGCATGCATCATGGACGTACGAGCGACGTCCATGACCATGCCAATGCGGCGCTCAGCAATCCCATTCTGCTGCGGTGAGTCCGGAAGCGTGAAGGTCTGACGGATGCCTCGCGCACGACAGTAGGCACTCAGGAGGCCAGAGGAGAACTCTCCGCCTCTGTCCGAGTGCAGACGCAAAACAGGGAAGTCAGAGCCAAAGCTCCTCCGAAGCTGGAGACGAGCTGCGCGGATCCAGTCGATCAACACCGCAGTGACCTCACCCTTGCTGCGCAAGGGGAAGACTGTGGTGTAACGCGAGTAGTCGTCAACCACCAGCAGGAAGTAGCGCTCCTGACCCTGTCCACGGACGCGGGCTGGGCCCCACACATCCATGTGAAGCGTCTGCAACGGGGCCTCTGTCGGAGGAAACTGGGAGGAGTGAGGGGCAGCACGCTGGCGCCCCTCGACACAGGGGACACAGGTGGGGCCAGGGCCCGGAGGGAGGGGAGGGAGAGACCGGGGAAGACCAGACACAAGGACTCGCGAGGCCATGCCTCTGAGCCGAAGCAGAGAGGGGTGGCCAAGGCGGTGGTGCCAGAGGAGGGTCTCGTGAGACAGACGACGGCACGAGCAGGGGGCAGACTCAGGACCAGACCTGGACGCTGCAGCAAACACCTGACCAGACGAAGTGACCCTACCAGACTCAGCACCTGGAGGAGAAGCAGTGGTCAGAGTGTACAGGCTCGACCCTGGCCGACGTGTAAACGTAGCCAGGTGGCGACCTGTATCCGCCTCCGTGCAGTGGGTCACCCGCTGACGAGCAGGGGTGAACTGGTGGACACCCGCATCCTGGAGGTCAGCACCACTCACCAAGTTCGT